AACGAAATAAAATGACAAAGATACAAAAATGTATCAAATAAATCTGCTCACCTGCAATTTATAATGGCGCATTGTAGTCACCTTCGTGCACGAAAGTTCGTTCAATCTCAGCTGCTCAACATTTTCAGTTATTTGCTGTTGTATAGCCTCTTCTCAAAATGCAAATGATCTGTTAACTTTATTTTCAAAGAATAGTTTGTTTTGTTATTGTTTGGTTGGTGTCTTATATGAAACTGCGACATTGCGCAATTTATTGGACAGACTTGTTTAAGATCACACAGCGTAATTTGGGTGGCATTTTCTTTCGTATTTTTAAATCATCTTTTTATTTTTGACAATCTGTAAATGTAGTTTCCTGCTCTTAATTGTGAATGCATACTTGATGGTTTTAAATGCTCCTGAAATTAAGTGCTGCTTGACGAGCCTATACAGTATTGTGTTCATAATATGTGACGTCACTGAAGGCCTAAGGTTGAAATGCACGGCCCGCCACTGCTCACCACATTACTTTGAATATGACAAAAGATGAAACAAAGTCAAAATACAGTATATGAGCAAGATAAGTATTGTCGAGTTAATAGTGAGGAAGTAGTTTTCTTCATGGCTTTTATCTGAGTTCTTGGAAGCAGTGGTGTGCAAAGGACAGCGGATGCCTGTGACACGCACCTAATTCTTAGACCCCTGAAGTTTTTTAGATGGTTAGGGTGGGGAGGTGGACACCCGGAGGACTCCTGCCCCGTCATCCCCCACCCTTTGCACGCCCCTGTCTGGCAGTGCAAAAAGCATTTTGGCGCACATTCGAAAGAAACTTGTATACGTAGAAAGGAATGCACCTTTTTTTCTCGTTCCAAATGTTTCCACTGGGAACGGCAAAAAAACTTTACTACACCTTGATGCCATTAGCATGTTTGTTTGAGATGACATAACACACAGTATCTATTTATCCACCAGTGGTTTACTAAAGCAATTATTCGACAAATACTCAAGCTATACTTACAAAACCTGTGACTAATCTGTCCTAGTGTTGTTCGAGAGCCTTATTACTGTTTGCAAAATTATGAGCAAAGTTGAACTGAGCAGAATACTGCTCTCACAAAATACTATTATCACTATGTTGTATGACAGGAACAATGAGTGAATGCCTTGAAATGGCAAGAATGCTTGCCAGCACCTGCAGAAAAACAATGATTCAGCTGTTTCCATGATGTGAGAAATGTAGCCATTGTTGTGCTAAATATAGTCAGAAGACAGTAAACCCATCAATTATTGTTTCCACGAAAAACAATGTGTGATCAAGCACGTTTATTGAGTTAAGAAAATGGACTCACACGTGAGCGGGCCTACAACGCACACATGCTCTGCAGCAGTAATATTATGTAAACAGCCATCCAACCACAAGCGGAACCTCTTATCCTCACAAGGGTCGCAGGCTTGCTGGAGCCTTACAATGATTGTACGTAACACGTTTTTCATATTTTGAGTAGTCACAATTTCTGGTGGCATCCAAAAGTGTGTTCAACTTATTTCTTAGGGTGATTAAAAACATAGGCAGGGTATTCGATATAGTGGTGCCTGAAAATAAAAATTCAATTTGTTCTGTGTGCGGGCTCATAACTATTTTATTTATGATGAATGATGCATAATGAATACTTAGGCCTTACAGTAAAGACCTAATTAAATAGAATGGTCAGAATCAAACAGGTTTGGCCACATTTTTTGTTCATTTCCATGGAAGTTTTGCTGATCCTTGTGGTGCTACATTGGGGCAATATTATTCAGTCAATCAATATTATTAATGTACCTCAGCCGCAGCTTTGTATTTTAACTGCAGTAGCAGTGTTGCGCCACTAAGATTAAGATTAAGATATCCTTTATTTGTCCCACACTGGGGAAATTTACAGTCTACAGCAGCAAAATTTGGGGGTAGAAAGAAGAAAAAAAACAGTGTTTGCGTGCACAAATATAAATGTTTCACTATGGAAGCACTGTAGCAACAGCGCAGCAGTGCACAGAAAAGACCTGAAGCAACTACCGAAGAAGAAAACATCAAATTGTGTTTTTTCTACGCCAGTCAGCGCTGTCGGCGTCCTGATTTTCCCTGGCCAATGACAAAAACGGGTAAATATTGCCTGTTTTTTTTTGGGGGGTTTTTTGCGTCCTAGCATGTCGTGTTTATTAAAATGATTTTTAGCCCCTTTTTTAAAAAGTGACCTGGTGAGGAGGAAAGTTGAGTCCAGGTGAAGCAGAGCAGTGAAATTAATGCAACGGGCAGTTAACATGTAATAATTCATGGTGGTGACAACATATGGAAATTTGGTCTGAAACACTAGCGAGGGTCAGAATGCAGGACAGGACGAGTCGGTCAGGCGAGGCTGCATAAATCCGTTTCCAATGAGCAGCATAACCACGCAAAGCCAATATGTACGTCATTGAAACATTCTGTTTTGGTCCTCTTTCCATAACGTCTCAAAAACACACGAGCCAGTGGTTTTGACAAGCAGTGGCTGAATTCATTTACCCAGCTCAGACATACCGAGGTAGGCATGCACTGTTATTTATGCCAAAAGCACAGTGCTTAGGACACCAAAGATTAGGAGAAAAATGAATAATAAATACTGACATGCACCCTTTAGGTAAAAGACCTTTATCAGTACTTCTGTTTTTCATCTTTGTCTTTTTTTTTTCCACATTCATTTTTATCCACTTTGACTCAAGTGTAGAATGTCAGTACTTTTGCAACCTCTGATTTTCACCCACAAATGACAATATCAGTTGCATTTGACGCTGCAATTTTACTTGTTGACGGTTTGCAGATTGGAGGCAAGTGAAGCCTGTGGAAATGAAACCATTGCTTACCGCTGAGACAAGACGAGAACTTTGTTTTCTGTTCTCTCGTGTGCTCTTGTGAGTGTTCAATTCACTTTACCAAACCTAAAGAACTCAAGTTGTCATAAGGACAAAAAAAAAAGATGTATGTAGTTTCAACCTTATAATGTTAGCGACCCCCACAAAGCCAGATTGTAACTGGGAACTAGGGTACAAGAAAAAGTTCATGAATAAAAAGAAGTCTTACGACAAATGCGAAAGAAGAAGTTGTTGATGGGTAAAGTGTAAATGTGCACATGACTTACAGACCTGTTTCCTGGAGGACAGTGCACTCTTCGGGTGGCGTGGTCGACTTCTCTTCCCCGTTTCTGTGACCTGTCGACAGGTTTGGCGCAAAGTGGTAGCACTGGTTTCGGGTTGGTTTGGCAGAGGTCTGGTGGGACATATGAACACCAACTCCAAACTGACCCAATGCAGCATTTCCACGACTGTTCCACTGTTTGTTGATTTGAATTAAATTGAACTCACAAGACAGTATTGAATTTGCCAACAGTAATGTCCACAACTATTATGTTCTATGGCTTAGGAACATGGGGCATGATTTTAACGTGATGCTATCAGACATCAAAAGCATTTTAAAAACAGACTATTTATACAACATTTATGTACCAGTAATTATGAGAAAAGGAAGCACATCTTTTGCAATCATAAACATCATTGAAAGATGGAGAAACAGTGATTGTTGCAAAAAACAGTGTTGTGCAAATACTTAAAGAGGACCTGTTGAAGAAGATTTACTTGAATGATATGAACTATTGATATAAATGAATGATATGTCTACAATAACAGTAGTTTACCGATATTGTCAATAATGAAACAGTAATTACCCGAGGTAGAGAATCCGTGCTATCAGTCCGTAGAGCACGATAGCGAGAAGTAATGGGACGACATAGAAAATAGCAAAGTCGATGAGGTAGATGGGCAGGTAGAGCTCCCGCTTCACCTTGTACCCACACTGAACATGTCCATCCAGGCTCACCTGATCACACATTTGTTGGAGAAATAGAGTGGAGTGAACATTGGAACGCTCATTCACATTTTACATCAGCACACTGATAATGCTCTCAAAATGCCGTTTGACATCCACTTATTGTTGAGCAAGCTGGTGTACAAAAGAGGATCGCTTTAACATTTTACGCCCACGAAAGGTTACCACTATTGATTGGAGGACTACTAAGTATGTTCAATGGGGAACACGTTTTGAAAACATAATGTAAGCTGAGCGCTCGATTATTTTGTAGTGTTTCAAACACAAACACTTGTCCTTTCTGCATTTCATATTCCATTTTGTTTTAAAGGTTGCTAATGCTTGCTTGTCAATATATTGGCAACTTGTGTTGTAAAAGGCATTATTACTGTTACCTGTATATCCACAAGGAAAAACCATAATATGCAGTAAATACAGGTGGCGATCCAAACCCCTGCAATTATCTTCTTGGCCCTGGACACTGTGCACACAGTCTGAGCCTTCATTGGATGGCAGATTGCGATGTACCTGCATACGTGACCAAATAGGTAAGGCACGCCATATTAATACACAATATTAAATCTTCTACCTTAAAAGAATCAAACATTGCCTTTGGAAAAATGCAGCCTCTTAAGTACAGCATTGTAGAAACCAACTTTTAGGTTTGTTAAGGTATTTTATTACTCTCTGTTAGTTGGATTTGAAAGAAACAAAGAATGTAGAATGTTGTTGGAGGTATTTCCTGCTCACTGTGTTTACGATCACCTTTAGTGCACCTCGACCCCCATCACTTCGAGGCCCCCCCTCCATAGGACATGTTTAACATCAAAAGAGGAACTGTTATCTCAAGTATCTGTGTTCCTGCCATCACACCAAATGGTGGGTAGTGGTGGTCTGGTCTCACCTCACCGTTCCCAACTTCTTCCAGCCACACCGGGTCAGATGACATGTTACTTTCTTTGTTTCTGGGATTTGCATGAGAGGCGTACCTCCCCGCCTCTCATTACCATATTGTCTCTATATAATCTCATGAATGTGTTTCTTCTACGCTTCCTGATTGAAATCTGGACCCCTCAGGAGCCCAAATCGATTTGTAAACTGCAGAAATTAAATTAAAACCCTTCGAAGGAACTGTTCATCACCTCCAGCCTTTATTTGGATTACCAACATTCTCCTCGTCCGAAATTCAACGAACACGCGGGGAAGAGGGGGCCGCTCTTCCCCCAACAGGTTATAGTTGGCCTTGCTATAAATGTAATGTTACTCTATCCATCCACCCATCCATCCATTTGATTTACATTGTATCCTTATTATGGTCACAGCTGACCTGGAGCCTATCCCGACTGACCTTTGGCAAGACAAGAAGTACAACCTCGGTTGGGCACCCATCAATCTCAGAGCACGTCATGAATCTAATTGTCCATCTGCCACTGCTGTATTTTTGCATTTTGATTCTCGTCAGTCTCCCGGGTGAGTGTGTATGGGCGGGTGACTCCTGCCCACATCTGCGGACTATGATAATCAACTCGGTTGTATGAGGTGAAGTAATTTGCGCAAACATATATTAAATATCTGCAAATGGCAGGATTGGGAGGATAATGGAGCGAGAAAAGGAAGGAGCTGAAAGGTGAAGTAACACTAAAAGGCAAAAATTGAGTGAAAAAGACCTTGAGTCAGGATAGTCGACCTGAGCACAAGAATGAGAATGAAAGTTATACATAAGAAAATTGATGAGAAAAGAATAAAAGTGCTGATAAAAATTCAATAAGTACCAAGTAGATGAATGAGGAATCTTTCCCAAAGCACTTTAAATACTTTGCAGGTAGAATAGCGCTATTCAACTAAAATCTCATGAACATCCAGTCTCCACACAGGAAGGCTCAAACCGAAAGTCAAAACCAAATGTGCTACTCTTCAACCGTGCTGCTGTAATGTTACTCATTTCAAATCATTCATATCACCGACGTTTCCTTTCAACGTGGAACATCAAAGCCTGTAACACTGTTAGTGATGCTCTTATCAGAATCGGAATCATTTTTATTGGCCAAGTTATGTGAGGGATATTTGTCTCCGGTAGTTGGAGCCACTCTAGGACGACAGCAAGAAGTCGGCCATTACCTTCCCAAGGAGGACATACGCCCCCTAAATGTATGATGGACCAGAGATTTAGAACAAACACATAAGTAGAGAGAGTCATTAAACAATGTAAGGTGTCCAGTAGTGCGGTAATACTGAAAGCTGAGTACTGAGGCGATCATCTACAGCGCCATCTTGGTCATTCATTGTTCATTTATCATTCACTATCGGACAGTAAGAAAGGATTGGGCTCAACCAGTGAAACGAAATGAAAAGAAAATGCGATTGATGACTGTGCTATTTTATTTGATGAAATAGTTGCAGACGCCTAAGACTATGGTGGTTGATGGGCAAACGTGCTGCAAATGGCCGAACACTGCAAACACAGGATAGATGCAAACAAAAAAAAACAAACATAAATGGAGAAGAAAAAAATATAAATGTAAGAAAAAAATGCTAAAAGCAGCGTTTTTCTTTTTTTTTGCATTTGTTTATAGTTTGTCATGTTTCATTCCACTATGTTGCTGTGATTGCAGCATTTCTTTCTTGCGTTTACATTTATTTATTTTATTTTTGCATTGATGTTTTTTGTTTGCATTATACCTGCGTTTGCAGCATTTGGCCGTGTGCAGCATTTCTTGCGGCATTTTTGTTTGGCAGTTGTATAAATGTAAGAAAAAAATGCTAAAAGCAGCGTTTTTCTTTTTTTTTGCATTTGTTTATAGTTTGTCATGTTTCATTCCACTATGTTGCTGTGATTGCAGCATTTCTTTCTTGCGTTTACATTTATTTATTTTATTTTTGCATTGATGTTTTTTGTTTGCATTATACCTGCGTTTGCAGCATTTGGCCGTGTGCAGCATTTCTTGCGGCATTTTTGTTTGGCAGTTGTTTTGTGTGGTTTTTAGTTTCCATATGTGTGTTTGTCTTTTTTTTTCTACATTTTTTTTTCTTTATAGCATTCCTGTATAAAATGTCAGAAAGTTAAAATCAGTTTTTGATGTGCTTCATCAAAAGGTGAATTGGTCATGCTCACCTTTCCACAGTGAAGGCTGTGATGGAGCAGGATGACACATTGATGCCCAAGTACTGCAGGTAGGTGATTCCCAAGCAGCCGGCGTGCCCAAACACCCAGGTTCCCGTGAGACTGTCTGAGATGTTCGGAAGTCCAGCCGCTACTAGTACAGTTAGATCAGCTATGGCCAAGCTCACCAGGTAACAATTAGTTGGTGTCCTCATGTGACGGGTGGTCAGGACAACAAGGACCACCATGATATTTCCCACAATGCCAACACTACACACCAACAGGACCAAGAAGACAGACACCGTCTTATACTCCAGGGACTGGGAAATGGCAAGGCTGGGACTCAGGGAAATATTAGTTGGGGTGTCAAGTTTGTCAACTCTGGAGCTCACATTGTCAGTCATATCTGCTTGAAAAGCAGAGATGTTTTTTTTTCTCCAAGTGTGAGTTAATAAAGTCTAGAATCACTTAATTAAAAGAAATTGACATGGGACATGCTCCTTCCCTTGTATTGAGAGCTGATTCTCATTTCATGCGATTTGATTTAAAACGAATGGAACACTATTTTGTTCTAAGAAACTTGCTAGTGGCTTTTGTCTGTATTTGATGTAGTCATCAGGTCTTCATTTCGAACCCCATAATCAGTCACCTAGAAAAATGGAAACATAAGAAAGAGAAGAAAGGGATCAATGTGTATCAATTAATTATCTTTCCTAGCATGTTTGGAGGTAGCACGTCACCAGGGGGAATTATTTGGTGAATGGATTTAATTCCCACAGTGAGTGTTGGTTGAGTAAACTGATCATTCAAAGGAAAAACACAGTGGTAGTAAAGCAATACAGTAGCACAAAGTTCAAACGCTTGAATCGAGGGTTGTATTCAAACTGCCTACGCTTGATATGTCATTCACTTGAAGGACTTGTGATTGAAGTAAATTATGATTGTTGACTTTGAGGTCAGTTTAATTTACATTAACCTTGGCATCATTTTTAGGTTGTCTTCATCCTGATCAAAATGTAGTGACCGTGTACAACATTGTGAAAGGGAAGGAGGCGTACGTTACTCTCCTGGCTCATCTCCCCGACAAAGCACAAGCACATATTGGACTTTCTCTCCTGGGGGGGCGCCTCTAATAAATTGAGGTGGACATGAAATAAGAAAGTAATTTCGTTACACTATTCTGCCGTTCATCAAAATGCATCAACCTCATATCTGAGCACACGCAACAAAATAAGTGGCCTGCTTACATCTCCTTGAAATGATGTTCCTATACATTCTATTTGCATTCTCATGAAAATTGCATCTGATGCATTTTCTTCGATAGTTATCCATACTTCCATTATCTCAAGGGCGAAGCATTTACCAGCAGACTCGGAGCGAGTGAAGGACAGGATGAATCCTGGACTGATCACCCATCAGTCGCAGGGCTGACAAATAGACAGAAAAAACATTTATCATAGAGTGAGTTCCACGCACTTGAAGGTCATCGGGCGGAAAACCTGTAACAAAGATATGTGAGTAATCAGGCGAGTTGTCTGTGGCAACCGCTGACTAAAAGGGACTAAGCCAAAAAGTCTAACAACAACCGGAGTCCACAATCAAATGTCACGCAAATTCTGTTTTATTGGCTAATCAACCCTGCTTTCACTCTACTCTTATTTGAATGTTGACAAAAACGTGTTGAAAGTTAAATCAAGATTGACACTCTGTTTTGGGAATATGATTTATCCAAGGATTTTAGTGTAACTAACAATTGAGAAGCCGTTCAGCAGATTGTACGATCAGGGAGAGACTTTCAACAAATACTGTACACCACAAAACAGACAAATAAAATGGGTTGCACCAAGGTTAAATGTAATCAAAGATTATCTCTAAATGAGTAAAATCAAGCTTAAAATGAGTTAATGTGGTTTTAAAATTAAGCAGAGCTCGGTGGCACCATGAAAATTAATCTCAGTTCAGTAAAACTCAGTTTAATTGAATTTAGTTCAACTTTGTAACCCCTTTGTCAACAGGTGCTTTTCAAAAAAATATGGATGTATTTAATTTGATTTACATTTATTTTTATTTGATTTATTTTGATTACAGCCCGTATCTCACTGATCGGCAGTGATTTGGTTTGCAAGCGTGTGCACACGTGTTCTTTCATCACGGTTCATTCAAGCTTGCAAAGACGTTTGCCAGACACTCACAAACAGTTTTTCTTGCTACCATCAAATTATAAGCGCCATGATGGGTGAGCGGTGTTTGCTCCTTGCGCACACATACACACGGACCTTTGTTGCTCGGTGAGATATGGTCTTACATTGTTGCGACCTAGCAAAAACGTTAGCCTAACATTAATTGCTAACTTGATCGGCTACATTTTAATGCCTCGGCAGAGAACCATAAACTTTTCCTCCCTTGACAACAACTTGCTGACCAAATTACCGGAGATAGAATAGAAGACAAGAAAACAGACAACAGCATGGTGAGAAATAAAATGGTCGACAATCATAACAGATCGACCAGAGTGAAAGAGAAAAGAGACGTCACTCAATTAAAGCTTGCTTTAAAGACTTAAAAACCAAAGCCGCAGTTGTAGCATCAGTGGGACGGCCGCATTTCCGTCACTGCCATGGATGACAGCTGATTCAGTCTTCCATTTCAGCTCCAAAACTGTCTACCAAACTGGTATCCCACCAAAAATTCCTCTTCACCATAAATTCAAAAGGACTGAGACTTTCTATTAAATGTCTTCAAGAAACTTTGTTATTTTTCTTCTATACACCTAAAAAAATGCAGCCATTGTGAAAGTTAAACCATCCCAACTGTCAGTTTAAAAATAATTCTCGGTCACAGTTTAAATTGGAGTTCAAAGTTCTGGTGCAACAGAATTTAAATTAAACTTGATTTAAGAGTACAAATTAAACTAGGGTTTAAGGAGATGTTTGCGTTGAAAAGTTGGTGTTGACAACCCGTCATGCGGCAAAACCTAGTCATGACGGGATGCAGCAGTAACGTGTCAAAAAATATTCATCGATGGAGGGGGTAGAGAGTTGGGACGTGACGGCCAGGAATGGCCCGTAAACACACGGCCGGTCGGGAAAATTTCCCCGAAACTCCCAATGGCCACCCCGCCCCGAGTGAGTAGTCATAGAAATAACCCCAATTTTGCAACTATGAATGGGACATGTGTCATTCTGATTCTTACTGTATAGTACTTATGTAAAAATTGACAAGTGAAGTTGTATTTCGAGGCAAAGTAAAAAAAATTATCATAATAACGCAGGATCATACGCAATGAAGACTTGAAATCAGCACTACGCCCAGGCATGACTCCACAACGTTTTCTCTCCTGTGGCTAAAGGAGGGATTGACTGATACGTAGGAGGGCTAAGAAAACAATTTACAAATATATTTTAGAGTATTAAATAAAATGCTAGAGGGCCTTAACTGGGGCCATCCCTGACTACAGCTTCTTCTTTGTCATGTCCTTGTTTATGATGATACTCGTGTAGCCTGTACTGTACACTCCTTGTGTGTTCTACATACTTGACCAATAAAGATGATTCTGATTCTTATATGCAGTGTAGTTGACATGGAGGCTCTACATTGGTAGGTGTCGATGTGACTGTAAATCAGGGGTTTCAAACTCAATCTACCCGGGGGCCGCTGGAGCTAGGGTCTGGGTGAGGCTGGGCCGCATCAGGTTTTCCCCCAAAAATGAATTTATTAAAAACAAAATGAAAAAAAAAACTATATTTTATACATATGCATTTTTCTAAATTTTTCCATGCTTTTGCTATACCCTACACTTTTTCAGTGATTCCGGTTTTCCACAAGAAAAGCTCTGATAAAACATTCCACTGTTCTCAAACATATTAATTTGTATTTTTCTACACAAAATAAGATGAAAAATATAAATAAATAAACAAATCAAAGAGCGTAATTTCCGCTGGTGGCAGATCAGCTCAGTGTCCCGCGCCTGCATATGACGTCGAACACGGCACAGCTCGTGATTAGATGAAGGTCAGAATCCATGGAAACACAAAGTGCTTGTGGTGGCCATTTAATACTAAATGAAATACATTAAAAAATTAATAAAGTTTGAAAAGTTCGGCTGGTAGGTAACATGGAGCTAACGCTAACACAGACACGTATACCTAAAACTTCACTTGTGGGTATGAAATACTGTAGTACTAGCTTGTGTTAGCGTCCTAGCATCATTTTCTCCGTTCCTGTGCAAGTGTCACGTCAGGTCTGGCGCTTCGGAGCACCCGGCTCAGGTGACAGTCACACTGGTGTGTTGTTCAACTGTTTAAATGTATATTCAGCAACACTAGAGAAGGCAGCAGTGGCGGGTTGTTTACATCCGTGGTTTACACGTGTTTTTGAAGTTTGTGCGGCGCACCGTGGGCATGGTCACGTTACCGCTATAGTCCGGGTACTTCGAAGCTGTCGGCCTTTCAATGAGACAGACCTAACGATTTAGCATGGAGGTAGTGCTAACGCATACAGCATCAACATCAAACTTGCCCGGGCTGCACGAACATGAAACTTTCTGATCAAGGCAGGGACCTCAAACTAGCATCCTGTGGGTCACATTTGGCCCGCGGGCCGCAAGTTTAAAATCCTGCTGTAAATGGTTGTCTGTCTCTCCAACTTAATTGGCGCACAAAGAGATTTGAACTTGACACAATCAGAAATCGTTAGGGAGATCTACAGTGCATATGACAAGCCTGCAAGTCTTGTCGAAATGTGTAACTGACATAACAAAGCACTTTGAGAAACTCCAAAAAGATCAACTCCATATTTGCATATATTTTCTCCATAAACAAGCGTAATGATCAGGTGCCCAATTTCTTTGTCCATTTAGTAGATGTATAAATCTTAAATTAAAAAATAAAGTACATAGGAAATACGAAGGGTAATTGGCATACAACACTTTAATATATGTCTTCCTATATGTTGAAACTCTGCCAAACAGTAAACAGTTATAAGTATGACACAAAATATTGATGAAGGAGATATGTCTTGGGCTCCAAAATCCTGCACATGAATGCAACATGCAAAGCAGAAGGGGCGGAAGATTGGTAGGGGCAAAAAAAAAAAAAAAAAGCAGTCTATCATGAGTGTCAAGCCGTCCAAACTTACCCGCTCGTGACAAAGCGAACGTTATGCAGACAGGATAAATGTTCAAAGGGTGCGTAATTAGGTTAAGGTACCGGTATTGAGGTATAAAATATTTCACATCACAATGTGGCTGTAATAATTCTCATTTTCTGCCTTAATTGCTTCAATTGATTTACTCGTTTTGTGTGTCAAAACCTTGTTGAATGCAAAACACTGGAATGAATGCATCAGTGTGACATATTCCACACGTGTTGATCCCAAACTTAATTGCTTTAAAAATCTAATTGTAGAAAAGAATAAAAGTTACTTACTTTATGTCTCTCTGCAATACGTTATCTTTATCCTGAATCCATGTAAGGAGTTCATCTTTCGTTACATAATCAATACTATTACTTGTTCCCCACGTGTCTGGTTGCACCGATTTCAAAACGACACTGTCGGTGGTCGACCTGCTGGAAGGCTCCTTCGCAAGATAAGTCACCAGTCACCACTCCGTACAATTTGGGAAGCAGTGTGTGTGACTTCAAAATAAAAGCATTATACCTTCACAATAAGTATATTACTTTGTGGTTTGCACGATTCAGGCTCCACTATTCTCAATTGACGTTATCATTAATTGATGAATCACATCTGTCCACATTTTTATTTTCAAGATAAGAGTACAAATAAGAATGATTGAATTCAGTGATTGACACGATATTAAATTGATTCAAATGAACGTATTGATGTTAAGATTGACTAGGGATGGGTATCAATAAGATTTTATCAATACAGTACAACTACTCTTAGTGACACTGTTTATCGATCGGGTGCCTTAACGGTATTCTTACTGGTACTGTTTTTTGCTTTCAAAAACACCAAAACAAAAATGTTTGAACTTTACAAATGTATTTGTCCATCCAGCTCTCCATTTTCCAGCCCGCTTAACCTCAGAAGGGATGCAGGCGTGCTAGAGCCTATCCCAGCTCTCTTCGGGCAATAGGCGGGGTACATCAAGCCAATCGCAGATGTATTTGTCTTGCGAATAAAACGGCATCATTGTAAAATAAACAAAAAAAAAAAGAATTTGAACAAAAAGAAATGATTTGAACAAATCACCTATTAAACATTATATCAACAATGATTTTGCGAAAATGAAAACTAGTGCAAGAGCAACAAGAAATGCAGTTGGGACACAAAAAGTACTCAGAAATAACATCAAAGAGGTAGAAAGGGCAAAATAACATTCATGAAGCCTAAATAATTGAGAATTATTAATTTGAGTAACTTCTCTAAAACTGCAAACCCAACTGTTAGGTCAAAGAGCTTATTGAAAATATTGATTGCAAATTTCCCCAGTGAAGTGTGGGACAACTAAAGGATATCTTAAAGACTGGATTAGCTGCCTGGTGAGTGAATGGTTACCACATTCCAAAAGATGAATGGAACACTCAAAATTCTCTCCAGATGTGACTGCGAGTGCAAATGGTTGTTTGGCTATGTGTGCCCTGCGATTGGCTGGCAACCAGTTCAGGGTGTCCCCTGCTGACTGCCCGAAGACATCCGGCCGGGATAGGCTCCAGCAAGCCCGCGACCCTCATGAGGATCAACAGATTAGAAAATGGATGGGTGGATAGATGGATATATTTGGCATCGATGAAAACAAGACTCGGTGTACAAACAAAGACAGATGCTGTATGTTTAAAGCATTGATATCATCGCCGTCATTTATACCACAGAATGCAATGAGGAAATTCTTCTACCGCTGTTGTGATTGCCAAAGCCCTTCTTCATACATTCAGTACTGGTCAGGGGTGTAGTGAGCGTGGTACGCGGGGGTACGCCATCCACCCACTTCTCCCGACGCCACATTCAATTTTTATTGAAATGTTTGTTGATCATTGTTCTAATGCGAGTTATGCTTAATAACGTTGGCCTGTGATTATTTTGGAGTAGTAAAACATTAAATTTAACGTTAGTTCAACTGGTGTTGTAGCCTATGATTGATGTTCTTTATGTATATATAGAACATCCCAGAATCGCGTACACCCACTTAAAAAAATCCCCACTACACCACTGGTACTGGACCAAATGACTTCGCATGCAGCAATGACATTTTAATGAGTGCAGGATCAATCCACTGTGAGCATATCGAGATACTGACGGACACATGACAATTATTCATTAATTTACATTTATCCTCGTTTAGGCCCCCCGTGGTAACAGACATGAGAATGGTGCCCCCAGGCGGACAACAATGATACCTGCACCTTACAAACGTATATATGAGCTACTCCAGAATTGGAGAATTTATCTTCACGTCATTTTTTTTTCTTCCATGTCACTTTGGGTCCTCCATGGATTCAACGACTGTACTTCACTCTGAAATGTAAATCAACAAAGACATTTAAATGTACTTAAGTACAAAAGTAAAAGTGGATTTTACAGTCAATTATATACAGTACAGTACTCTCATTTTGATAATTCCTCACAAAATAGGCTCCCTCTTGCATTAACTTGCATAGGCTTCGTACTAAAGGAGGGCGTGTGGATCACAGTTCTGCTGCAAGCCAAATTCTGACAGGATAATCAAAAGTGAAATGGCTGCTTTAGCACCTGTGTATGTTTCAACAGCTTGATCTGTCAAAGTAGCTGATGTCAATTGAAGAAAAAATAACTACAACGTGCGTTTCATCAGACTTCATGGAGATTTTTTGAGGCCAGAATATTGTGGGTTTTAGGCTGGAACAAGACACAATACATTTGCCACATATCAATCTACTTTCTTCCTTTCATAACTTTGCTGCTGTAAATTGGGAATTTCACCATTGTGAGACGAATAAAGGTTTTCTTATTCTTATTATTCTTGGAGCAGACAATATCCTGTAAGACTGGTGGGCAAGTGACTTCCATAATGTAATATATTGTATATTACTAGTTACTTGTATTTGAAAGTAGTACATTTATTCACAATATTACTGTCTGGATAGACATTGAGTTTATTTAATAAAGATTTTGACACTTTAAAAGGAAAATGCAAAATTTGCAACCATTTTGTAGCTGGTAAAGTTAACTTGTAATGATGATATTTAATTATAGTGTTGGCTATCATGTTAAATGTCAATAAAATAACATTAACATTTCTTAAAATACAGTATAACTATTGGAACAGATATTTGGCCCAGGAAATAATCCCAGTCACTAAATCATAAATGAAATTACCTATATACTGAAATTTATTTACACACAAGTAGTGATATACGAAGTACAGTATGATTGATAATTGGGCTCACAAAAGATAGACAGACAGAAAGACAAGACAGACAAATGATAGACAATATAGTCATACAGACAGATAGAGGTCGGCCCAGTGAGCAAATGGTGAGTGTGTTGATCTCACAGTGCAGAGGTGCAGGGTTCGATTACAGCTCCGGCCTTCCTCTGTGGAGTTTGCATGTTCTCTCTGTGCCTGTGTAGTTTTTCTTCGGGTAGTTCAGTTTCCTTCCACATTCCAAAAACATGCATGGCAGGTTAATAGAACACTCTAAATTGTCCCTAGGTATGAGTGTGAGTGCAGATTATGTGCGCCCTGCGATTGGCTGGCAACCGGTTCCCCCCTCCCCCCACCCCCACCCACACACATTCTAAAAACATGCACGGCAGACTAGGCTAATGGAACATAGGTGTTTTAGTTCCCAGCTGCCTCCTGCCCGAAGACAGCTGGGAACTAAAATTGAAATTGAAAAAAAAAAAATCCTCGTCTCACCCCTCAGGTGGTGTCCATCCCTCATTCAGCTTGGGTCCTCTACCAGAGGCCAGGAAGCTTGAGGGTTCTGCGCAGTATCTTTGCTGTTCCCAGCACTGCACATTTCTGGACTGAGATGTCCGATGTTGTTCCCGGGATCTGTTGCAACCACTCATCTAGTTTGGGGGTCACTGCCCCGAGTGCTCCGACCACCACAGGCACGACTGTCACCTTT